GCCGTGGCCAGTATGCCGTGGCCACTATGCCGTGGCCAGTATGCCGTAGCCAGTATGCCGTGGCCACTATGCCGTAGCCAGTATGCTGTGGCCACTATGCCGTAGCCACTATGCCGTAGCCACTATGCCGTAGCCAGTATGCCGTAGCCACTATGCCGTAGCCACTATGCTGCAGCCACTATGCCATAGCCAGTATGCCGTGGCCAGTATGCCATAGCCACTATGCTGTAGCCAGTATGCCGTGGCCAGTATGACATAGCAGAGATCTGCTGTGTCCCTTTGTTCCTCTTACCTCTACCTGCACCTCTACCAACCTACCCAACCCTGACCACACACACGTCATGTATATATATATATATATATATATATATATGCATTAATAATATATTAACATTAATATAAATGCATGCAATGTTTGGCATGTATTTAATAAGCACTTGGTGATTCTTTACATCATGAATCATTTATCTGACCACCTGGACTATGTTCTTCTGCATTATCTGTTTCTAGCTGTTGTTAAGTTGTGGCATAGGCATGGGACTGGACTCCATTCTCAGCATGTACTGTGAGGCTCAACGTACATTTGCAGACCAGGGTGGTTGAGGGACCACGTGCTCTCAATAAATGCAAGACCAACAGCAAAATGTGGCGGGTGACTTGTGCAGTTGGAAAGACCAGAGGTGCATTTGGACTCCTGCTATTCACTAGCAGTAATTTTTGTTATTGAGGTGAAATTCAGAGAACATAAAATTAAAGTGTATAGTTGAGTGGCATTTCATACATTCAGGGTGGTTCTGCAAGTACCATCTTTATCAAGTTCTAAACCATTTTCATTGTCCCAAAACAAAACCCTGTACCTTAAGCAGTCACTCCTGGTTTCCTCTCCCTTAAGCCCCTGACAACAAATCAAATCTATAGATTTACTTATTCTGGGTGTTTCATATAAATGGAATCTTACAATATGTGACCCTTTGTGTTTGCCTTCTTTCACTTATCATGTTTTCAGGTTCATTCATGTTGTAGCCTGAATCAGTATTTCATTCCTTTTTATAACTGCATAATATGCCATTGTGTGGATATACCACAATTTGTTTATCCATTCTTCTGTTGATGGACATTTGGGTTGTTTCTACCTTCTGACTCTTGTGAATAGAGTTGCTATGAACATTGGTATACAAGTATTTGTTTGAGTATCTGTTTTCAGTTCTTTGGGGTATAAACCCATGACCGGAATTGCTGGGTCATATGGTTATTCTGTTTAACTTTTTGAGGAACAATCAAACTGTTTTCCACAGTAGCTGCACCATTTTACATCCCTACTGGCAGTGTTCAAGGGTTTCAACTTCACTACGTCCTTTGTCAACACTGTTATTTTCCTTATTTATGATTATAACCATCCTAGTGAGCATGAAGTGGTCTCTTTGTGGTTTCAGTTTGCATTTTTTTCTAATGACTAATGATGTTGAGCAACTTCTCTTGTGCTTGTTGGTCATTTGTATATCTTTTTTGGAGAAATGTCTATTCAAGTTTTTTGCCCATTTTTAAATTGGGTTATTTGTCTGTTGTTGAGTTGTAAGAGTTTTTTACATATTCTGGATCCTAGACCTTTATCAGATGTATGATTTGCAGATATTTTCTCCCATTCTTTAGGTTGTCTTTTCACTTTATTGATAATAAAAGATATTAAGTATTTTGAACTGTATAGGTCATATGATGTCTGTCACAAGATCACTCCAGGTACAGTGTGTGTGTGTGTGTGTGTGTGTGTGTGTGTGTGTGTGTGTGTGTGTGAAGGGACACAGTTCTTAGGCAGGGCACAGTGTAAGGGCGGCCAGTTAGGAGGACACTTTCTTGAGGGCTTCAGGAATTCTTGGGACTGGGTGTAACTCTGGTTTTATAGTTTTATTTTTTGTCAGTACCTATCAAGAGGAAGTCCTGTAGTTAAGATTTGATGGATGGAATTAATTTTTCTGACTCAGATATAAATCTTCAATGCCCTTACTACCTTAGTCCATGCTCTACAGGCATCCAGGTTATCTTTCAAAAATGCAAAACTGTCCACATCACTTGCTTCCATAAAATATTTAGTGGCTCTGTGTTGCTGTCAGAGTTGTGTTTATTTATGCCATAGGCATGTATCCCAGGGACTGTGTTTGGTGCTGGAGTTACAGATGTAAGCAGGATGCTGTGATTTCTGATGGCCAGGTTTGAACTTCTCCATGGGTGCCATTTAACATACTTTCAATTTGGACCCAACATTGTTTTTGTTTCTTTCCCACCCCCTAGACCGTAGTCACACCTAGTCTCCCTAAAATTTCCTCTCTTGTCATGTCTTTATCTCCTTCTCTTCCTTCTGTACTTGGAAAGTCTTAGGTGGGAAAGCCCAGGATCTGGTGCATTTTTTCCTATGAAACCTTTTCCCCTCTCTGGGCTGTGCTAATACTTGCTCAAATTTGACTTCTGTAGAATTATCAGTTTTGTTATAATAAACTGCCTCTGTAATCTGTCTGATCCAATATACTACTGTGCCTTGGGAGCAGAGACCAAGTCTTGCACCTCCAGGTCCTAGGCAGGGTACCTGGCACAGCTCACTAAAATTTTGGACAGATTATTTTTTTGAATTACTTGCAAAACAGAGATACCTTATCTAACTGTATCATACAGCTGTTACAGGTACAAATAATATCATAGGTGTGGAAAACAGAATGCTGTGTAAACATAAGGTGGCACCATACAGTACCATATGTATACATTCTAATTTCATACTGTTAATTTCTTGCTTCCTGAAAAAGTTCCCTGGTTAAATACTGATGTTGAACTGTAGACACCTACTGATAAACTTTGGGATTGAAACCAGGTTCAGAGTTGACCTTAGGCAACATTGTCTTTAGTGATTCCTGTGCCCCCCTTCCGGTTTTTCCCTACCTTTTATTTTGACCCTCTCATCAGGGGGCAAATGCATTCATGTAATTCCTCTCACTATAGAGGCATTAATGTATTTTTATACTAACATAGTAATATGTTCCTAACAAGTTCTTAAGAAACTGAACTGTTATTTTACATGAGGGAAGGGAACACTGATGAACCTAAAAAATCAATCACATTTTGATATTGTACTATAATTATGTAAGATGTAACCATTGGGGGAAACTGGGTGAAGAGTACAAGGGTGCTCTCTGTACTATCTTTTCAAATTACTATGACTCTGTAACTATTTCAAAATAAAAAGTTTAAAGAAATCATCCATATTGGTAGATTTGTATATGTCCTGAGCCTCGATGCTTTTGTAACTGGAGGTCCTTCCGCAGTCCCTTCATCTAATCCAAAGCAAATGTCTGAGGTCTATGAAAATGTTGAAGTAAAAGAAAGGCCATGCCCAGCCACAGTCCACATTGGTGGAGCCTCCAAACCCACCCCTGACACCCCAGGCCCCTCTCCTCCTCCCTTCAGTCTCTGCTCCAACGTCAAGTTCTCAGTGAAGACTTCTCGGACCTTCCTGCTAAAAGAGAAACACTGCCACCCATACTATCCTATCCCCACTTTCTTGCTTTGTGTTTTCCTCGTGCACTTACCACATATAACTTACTACATTTTTTACTTTTTTATTTCAGTTTCTGTCTTCTCCCACTAGAATGTAAGTTCCATGATGGCAAGGACTTTTTTTTTTTTTTTTTTTAATTTACTGTTGTGTCCTAATCGCCTAGAGCAGAATCTGGCCATTCGCTGATTTGTTCAATGAATGAATCTTTGTAGAAAATAAAAGCTTGAAAATAAGCTATTTCCCCGAGAGAGAGAGAAGTGATTCAAATCTGCTCATCCTTGTGCGAGAGCAAACCTGACTTTGAAGCTAAGACCTTTTTCCTGTGTTCATACTTCAGAAGAAAGATACTACCGATAATATCTGAGAGGAAGGAAGCAGTGCATTGTGCTGGGCCTCTGCATGTAACATTATATAAATTGTCTTTTTTTATAGACCAGCCTCCCAAACGGTTTCCAGAGATGGATTATCTTACTTTCTTCTTGGCTATTCTTCACGTATACAGAGGTAAAGATAATGTCTTCATTTAAAAAATTTACTTCTTTTTTGGTCTTATAGTGTGACATGTTTAGAATTTATAATGCTCTTTAGTTGGCTCAGATAATTTCTCACTTGTTTAGGAAATCTACAAGTTACAAATACCTCTTATCGGCAGTGGAAACCTTTTTAGACTAAGGTAGAAACTGTTAGCCTTTAGCATGATCTCAATTTGCTAACTTGCTAGGTCTTATAAAGCTTAGAATAAGCTTAAGGTATCTATTTGGTGTTTCAATCATCAAGCCTAACTGAATAAATGTGATGTTGTGTATTTCAGCTCTATGCGAAGAGATGTTTTGGGACACAACTGTCAAACTTGCTGAGAATATGAGTCTAGAGTGTATATATTCATCACTGGACACCTTAACTCAGATGGAATGGCTCAAAATCAATACAACAAACAGAGAACTCATAGCCATTTTCAGCCCTACTTATGGTTTGAGTGTAAGACCATCCTATACTGATAGGGTTTATTTTTTAAATTCCACCATGGCATCTAATGATATGACCCTGTCCTTTCATAATGTCTCTGAGTCCGATGTTGGCTTCTATTCCTGCTTTCTTCATACTTTCCCACATGGACGTTGGGAAAAAGTGATCCAGGTGGTTGCATCAGGTGAGTGGACATTTTATTTACCTTTTTACCCATCTACGACATTTGATTCTTAAAGCCCCAGTAGAAACTACAAAATGCTTTATCATGTGTTTGTGGTATTTCCCAATTTCACTTCTAGATCTTATGATATTATTGTTTTAAAGAAATAATTCTGTAATCAGTTTCATTTTTCTTAATGTGCTATCATTTGTGAGTAGAATAAGCATCTGACAAATTTCAATGTAGTAGGAGAAAAGCCCAGGTTTTCTATTGTCTCAATAATGACTAGAGTGTAGGGATGCCTGGGTGGCTCAGTCAGTTAAGTGTCTGCCTTCGGCTCAGGTCATGATCCTGGGGTCCTGGGATTGAGTTCCGTTTCGGGCTCCTTGCTCTGTGGGGAGCCTGCTTCTCCCTCTGCCTGTGGCTCCCCCTGCTTGTGCTCTCTCTCTCTCACAAATAAATAAACTCTTACAAAAATAATAATGACTAGAGCTTAGACTAAACTGATGTTGGCAGCATTTGGGTTCAGGACCAGATACCTCCCAATCTGAGCTTCCTCCCAGTGATGGGGTACTGCTTCCTTCTGCTAAGCACTCAGTGCTGGCTTCAAACTCTGTGTGTTCAGAGTCCTCTCTGTAACACCAAATCTAGATTTATTAGTGAATCTGGGCAGCGTTCCTGCACTGGCTCCATTTTTTGCTTCATCCAAGTTCCCAAGAGAGGACACTTCAGAAACTGCAAGGTGTCATTTCAAGAAGGATCAAATGATCTCCTAGGTATTTTCTGCTATGCCTACCAGGGACTATGGTTTGGTGCTTGGTGAGTTAGTCCTTCGAGTAATAGCCACATGGATTGGGTATAGTATATTGGAAAAACATGGTTTTTCTAGCCTTTACTTTCTGCAAAACCTTATGTTAGCTGCTCGATCCCTCTGTATCTCAGGCTTCTGAATAGCAAACTGAGTTAATAATACCATTCTCTTTGTTGAATGGCTTAGGGATCATATGGTTAAAGACCTTTGGCAGTCAGGGAGTGGTGGGTGTTATTATTGTCACTATTATTATTCCCTACACTTTTGATACAAAACGACTAATGATGAAATTTTCAGATGTTGGCAATAGTCTAGGGAAGGAGAGTTTCGAACCATGTGTTTCTTGTCTGGAGTCTCTAAAATTGTATCCCAAATGGACATTCAGCACAACACATTATGTGACATGTGCTAGAGTGCTTTCTTTTCAAGGGATGTATATTATAAAAGGACAATTTACAATATTGCTAAGGGAGAGCAAATAGTTAGAAGGTAAGGAAATTTCCCATGTGTTAGTTTTCTTTTTCTCTGTAGATATAGATAAGCACAAAAATAGTTTTGTGTATATGACTGAGGCTTACAAAGTGTCTATTAGCAAAATCTCTTTAATGAAATATTTATTATTGAGTCCATTTTGTCATTGAACTCATTCGCTGTTGGGTACAGTCACCCTTTGAGTGCTGTCTGCAAGTTTTTCGTGTATGGACCACTTTTGATTAGCCAGGCAGATGAAGAAGAAGATTGGCAAGGGCCTTAAGGTAGAGTGAGCTATTCGACACTTGGCCTGAGCAACTAAGGCTGGAAATGAGATGGGACCCTTCACCCTTCATGTGGTGAGCTTTTGTAGCCTGGGTCCCAGATCAAGAATTCCAATTTCTGCCAAAGAAAAACTGATGAAACATAGGTAGAATAATGGTCACCAGGCACAGGGAGGTGGGGAAATGGGGAGCAGTTGTCAGAGGGTACACAGTTATAGTTATGGGGGGTGACTTCACCTAGAGATCTAATGCCCTGCATGAGGACTGCAGTTAATAATATTGCATTAGGGGCGTCTGGGTGGCTCAGTCATTAAGCGTCTGGCTTCAGCTCAGGTCATGATCCCAGGTTCCTGGGATTGAGCCCCGCATCAGGCTCCCTGCTTGGCGGGAGGCCTGCTTCTCCCTCTCCCACTCCCCCTGTTTATGTTCCCTCTCTCGCTGTGTCTCTCTCTGTCAAATAAATAAATACAATCTTTAAAAAAAAATAATAATATTGCATTAAACCCTGGACATTTCCTAAGGGAGTTGATTTCAGGTGCTCTCACCACAAAAGAAAAATGGTAACTATGTGAGAAGAAATGTAAATTACCTTGATTATAGTAATTGTTTCAATATATATATATCAAATGATTGTATTGCATGCCTTAAATATATACATTTTTTAAAAGTCTTATTTGCTTCTTTTTTTTTAAGATTTTATTTATTTACTTGAGAAAGAGAGAATGAGAGACAGAGAGCACAAGAGGGAAGAGGGTCAGAGGGAGAAGCAGACTCCCTGCTGAGTGGGGAGCCCGATGTGGGACTCGATCCCTGAACTCCAGGATCATGACCTGAGCCTAAGGCAGTCGCTCAACCAACTGAGCCACCCAGGCGCCCAATATAAACATTTTTTAAAAAAAGATTTTATTTATTTATTCAAGTGAGAGAGAGAGAAAAGAGAGAGTGAATGAGGGGAGGGGCAGAGAGAGAAGCAGTTTCCCTGTAAGCAGGCTCCCCGCTGAGCAGGGAACCTGACCTGGGGCTCCAACCCAGGACCCTGAGATCATGACCTGAGCCGAAGGCAGACGCTTAACCAACTGAGCCACCCAGGTGCCCCAAATATATACATTTTTAATTAAAAAAAAAAAACCCAAACAACAGGCAATTTGACCTCTTCCGAAAGTTTCAGATAGAGGATAGAGCTAAATTGTTGGGAACTGAGGTGTGATTGCCATACCAAGGTAGGATTTTTAGCATTATATATGAGCAATTTTGGCAATATTTCCTGCTTTTATCATCCAGATTTATTGCTCCTATTATTTTCTTGAAGTTAGGCAAAGGGAGATCTTTGCCTTCTGGGGCTTTTTCAAATATAATGGTAGGATTTTCAGTCACTTACTGGTCAAAGATTAGGAGTGCCTGTCTCTCCACATAGATGAATTCTTCATGATGGTATTCTTAAGTGTGTTTCGTCATGATTGTTTTTGATCATTTATATTTTTAAATAACAGATTGCAGTAATGGGCCAGTGAGAGTATTCCACTCATTTCTGAGACTTTGGAGGAATTCCTTTTAAGAAAAATGATAGTGAATTTAAAAAATATAGTAGCCATATTTCAAAGTTAACCTTATATATATACTTGACGTTTTCTGTGTGTGCTTTATTAACATGGTATCCGGACCTATACATATTGCACGTGTGTGTAGCATAAAGGGAGAATTGATGATCTATTTAATAATACAAGATTGGAGTTGGAATCCAGAAATCCTAATTTGTGTAAAAATTTATAAGAACTTCAAAAGGATGAAGTAACTGAACCATATGCTCTCTAAATATACTGATTTCTCCTCTTCGCTGATAGCTGACTATGTATGAGGAACTTGGTCAGTATCTTCTCATTTAACCCCGTTGCCCTCTTGGATGTAGACATAATCTTGATTTTATAGGTAAGGACTTGAGGTGTGGTGAGGTCCAATATCTGGCCAAGTTCTCAGACCTTGTACGTGTCCCACTGGATGAAATTGTGGTGAGGAATGGAAAAGGACAGCTTGGGGGACATGGAGCTGCAGGGGCTCTCAAACGAGAAGTCAACCACTGTACATCCTTGCTTCCCCACCCCCCACCTGGGGCTTTCAGCTCAGAGCTGGAGAGCAAATGGGACAGTCTTATGCTGAATAGATGGTGCTATTAATGCAAATTTATGTTAAAAGATGTATTAACATTACAGAAGCCTTTCTCAATTGGTAACTGATGTGGAGAACTTAATGGTAAGAATGGCTGCATTTATTGTACTGCTCCAAGGGAAAAGCTGCTGGGGTGGCTTGGGCGGGAACCTTCCAGAGGAAACCCTCTCATGGCAGAGTTTGTGGTGGAAGTGGGATCCTGCTGAAAATTACCGCAGCTCATGTGTCTGGCCTTACTAGTCCGTTAAAGTGAACGTAGTTACACTTATGGAAGTGTCCCCCCCAAATGGGTGGCCCACCCACACTACTCTTCTACCTAACTTTCACCAGGTGCCTCCTGGGCATGAACCAAATGTCCTCTCCTCTGATGTTTGTGAAACACCATGGCGGAGGTAACGTGTTCCCATCGTGCTGCTGATGGAAGGGTTCAGGGTCATTACTCACCTGGAGGTTGTGAGCTGTCCAGTCGCAGCACCAGGGTAAGACCCTTCGATGTTTGGGAAGTGCCAGAAATGAGAGGGAGAGGAGCTGGATTCCAGCACTGTGAGCGAGGAGGCTCAAGGATCAAGTCACGCTGGACGTTGACATGGAAGGATTTTTCCCAAGAGAGAGAGACCGATGAGGGAAGGAATGAGAGTGGAGAGGGTGCAAGGAAAGTGTGACATCCATGCAGGGAGAGAGCATGGAGCTCCAGCAGGATGTGGTTCCCGCCCTGGGCTCTGTGGCCCCTCGCCGCCATGAGGGGTAACCTGATAGGAAGAAACAGGGGTGCCTGCACCAGCCAAGGGGCTCAGCATGTGATGTGCTGGGGTCCCAAGTAAGGTTTTATGCGGTAGATTCTAAGTTGAAATAAAGAAGTTGAAGCCCACTGGGGCGGCCCAATGTCATAAAGAGCCTGGGCAGTTTGGTTGGCTCAGATCTTGCTGTGCCTCATGGAGTCCGAACTTCACTCTGGGAAGACCGGGGGAAGCCACTGAACATTTTTCAGAGGGAGACACACAATAAACCAATTTTTTTTTACCACCTACAAGATTAAATTAGTTGTAGCTTATAGGAGGGGAAGAGTTTAAGGTCAGAGTAAACAAGTAATATTTTGTGGATTGGAACACTTACCCACTGCTGGTAGAAGTACACATTAGTATATCTATTATATTATTGGTATTGCTAATATTCAGGATTCTCCTGACAAACAGACCAATAAGACATATATGTATATAGAAAGAGATTTATTACAAGGAATCAGATCATTGATTATGGAGGCTGGCAAGTGTGGGCCCATAGGCTGGAGTCCC